TCATGGACATCAGTATCCACCTCCAGACTGACCTCACACTGCTCAGCCAACTCATCCCTGCCTGTGGACTCTCCCCCTCCTTCCAAGATCCCAAGGGATAACCTGTGCCCCTGATACCTTAGATCTGCTTTGGAAGTAAATCATGGGCATATTGGATATTTCTGAGAGAAGAGACACTGGGAGTGTTTAACTGGGGGATGAATCCCCCACACTGTCACTCTGCTTGGCCACAGCTCCAGAGTGGGGGCTCCCCTGTGTCCTGTGCTCTGTCCAGAGCATCAGGGGCAGCATTAGCTGGCAATAATCCAAAGGGCTGATCCTGAACATTCCTACCAGGAATCCCATGGGCCTCCCAGTCTGTTCTTTCACCACAATACTCCATGTTCAGACCCAAAATGTCATTGGTTTGTTTTTTTTTTCATACTTCTCAAACTATGTGATGTGATAAATCTATGATGCAATGAATAATATGGTGTGATAGAATAGTATATAATATAATACTTCATACTACATCATACTGAAATATACTACAATATAGTACTAGATGATGTGATAATTGGGATTGTTCAGAAGAAAAGCTTTGGGGTGACCTAATTGCAGCCTTCCAGTACCTGAAGGGGGACTTTAAGAAAGATGGAGAGAGACTATTTATAAGAGCCTGGAGTGACAGGACAAGGAGGAATGGCTCTAACCTGACTTAGAGAAGGTTTAGATTGGATATGAGGAAGAAATTCTTCCCTGTGAGGGTGGGGAGGCCCTGGTACAGGTTGCCCAGAGAAGCTGTGGATGTCCCATCCCTGGAAGTGTCCAAGGCCAGTGAGAGGAACCTGGGCTAGTGGAAGGTGTCCCTGCCCATGGGAGGGGTTTGGAACAAGATGATCTTTAAAGTCCCTTCCAATTCAACCATTCTACAATTCTGTTATAGAAAATAACCTTATTTCTCTGGGTAAATCCTGCAGACAATCAGGTAGTAATGGCTTCCCCAGCTCCAAGGGATTCCCAGGTTGAGGAATCCTGTTGTGGGTAATGAATCTGCAGGGTCTCTCGTGGCTGAAAAGCAAAGGCTGATTGCCAAAGAAGACCATCTCAACAGGATATTCACAGGAGTTACAGACTGTGTAAATATATGACAGATTCCTAAAAGTGACACTATTCCCAGGGGTCCAGAAGAGGGATACTGGAGTATAACAACAGCACCTAACTTCAGATATTTGCTCCTGTCTCCTACTGAATCATCTACATCTCCCATTCCCTATTCATATTCACAAATAAAAATTCTTGATGCCTGTAATTTTCCAGGAAAAGTGGTCACTTATCACTGATATTTATTTTTAGCAAGGATGTGAAATAAGCAGTGCCTGGAGATTTGGAAAATTGCATCTGCTACTGATAGGGGTGGGGGTGGACTGGGAAAGCCTTGGGCTGGCTGACAGTCTCCTTTTAGTTACTGAGAAAGGCAGAAATCGAGAATTTCACATATACTCTTGGGATGCTTTGAAGGAATCACTTCTCCTTTTCTCCCTAACGACTTTACTTTTGTTCTTACATGACTTTGGGCATTTCTCAGGTGTTTTATTGCTTTTACCCTTTAGATTCTCTCCCCCATCCCACTGGGGGGGGAGTGGGTGAGCAGTTTTCTGGGGTTTAGGTGCTGCCTGGGGTTAAACAATGACAGAAGCAGAAAATGCTCCTAAAGGGCATATTTTTAGCTTTTTCTATCACCAATTTCATTCCTCACATGAGAATAAAAAAGAAAGACCACTAAGGTAAAAATTTGGGCTCGAAGACTCCTCTGAGAAACAGCTCTGCCACCTCTCAGTCCTTCCCAGTCAGAAAACACCAGGATAAATATGATTTCTCCCAGTTTTGTTGACTCTACCTCATCTCCTTCCCTCTGCAGGCTCCTCTTCCCTCCCTTGTGCTTTTGTACTTCTGCACATTAGAATATTAGGTCAAACGCCCTCACTAAAAATGTGCTGTACAATATTTCTCATTTTCATCTTTTCTGCTTGATTTTCTCCTCATCTGCTGGAGACATCAATGGTAATTTTCCCCTCAGAGGTTTGCCCTTTGATCATACCAGAGTTTCCTATAAACATTACATCAAAGCAGGGCTTCCCCAGTTCTTTATAAATGTTTACCATGTGCTCAAATACGCCAGGAAAACAAGAATCACTTATTAATCTTGGAATTATCAGCAATTTTTATTACTTCCCCACCCATTGTACACTATGAATAATGTGTAACAGAGCCTGAGGTGTCTGTGCTCTGCTCAGGGAGTAAAGTGTCATATAGTGGGTTAATCCTCACCTTTTACTGTTACAAAAATTGCACAATTTTATTGTTTATCCAAATAGTGATGCTTTTGATACTTGTGTGGAAGCAAAGAGAGGGATTATTTTGCTCTTTGCTGTGGAAACCACTTGAAATTCAATCTGTAGGGTAATCTAATTATAGTGTGAATGATAATCAGACTAGATGACAGGACTGTCTTCTACAAACTTCAACCTGAATGTACCTTATGTTGTCTATTTTTAGCAGGTTACAGTGACAGGGACAGTGCCCTCTGTTTGCACAACAGGTTATTGAGATTTATATATATATATATATATATATTCACATAAAAATTATGTAGATGAAAATTAAATATATATATATGTAATCCAGGGTTAAAAAGAAGTTCACAGAACTGCAAATGTAGTTCTGCAAAATTTAGTATGGACCTGAATTTTCTTTTTAAGAAATACTTGTGTTTAATGGAAAGATCTGCTCTCTCTGATGTAGGATCCTGATCTCAAACTCCTGTAGGGCTGGAGTGTGTAACAAGGAGCCTTCACTCACTCTGCTCTCCACCAAGGACCTAAAGACACCAGTGTCAAAGTCATGTTGTCCCAGCGTGTCTTCACAATGCAGGAGGTGTCACCAGGCTTTTCCAGACCTCACTGTGCAGATTTCAGCCTGGCAATCCTTCACATGCATTTTTGGCATCGATAAATCAACTGCACAGCTCAGTTCCAGAGCCTGCAACCTGCTGAATGTTCCTCTCTGCACCACAGCCTTTCCCACCAAATTCCCGTGGAGCGGTGTCAGCAGGCTCTGAGTGGAGAGGGAGGCAGGAAGAGCCCAGAGATTAAAGTTTAGATTAAACTTCACAATAATAAAACCTGTATTAAAACACTGTGCATTGATGAGTACTGTTGTTTTCTGAGTTTTAGTACACTAAAAGAAATATTACAAGCTCCAGACATATAAAGGGGATTGGAGTTGTTAAGGTAATTAATATTCCTACAAACGAAAGAAAGTAATCAATCAATCAATCAATCAATCAATCACATCTTGGATAACACGAAAACCAAGGCAACCTTTGGATGACTAAGCAGGGACTATCAGGTTGAACTAGAAGGGATAGATGACACCTTTGATTACAACACCTTGGGGACAACAGTGTTTAATTCCAACAAGGAAAGTTCCAACAAGGTGTTGATGAATCACAGGTTTAAAGGTAGAGAGTTATTATTTAAGGAATTAGAAAAAACCCACATTAAAGTGAAAGGCTTAAGAGTACAACCTGGTTTATTTAACAAAAAAAAATTAAAAAGTATTAAGGGTTATTAAGGATTATTTGAATAGACCCTTAATAAAGATATTTATCTCTATATGGAAAAAAATCATAAAATAAAAATTATCAAACAAAACATAGTGCTTGGAAAACTAGAAGTAGAATAGGCAAATTCAGACTAGAGACAAAACTTATTTTTATAACTCTAACCCTTTTAAATGTAATTAAACTGTAGAACAACCTACCAGTGTTTGTTCTGGGTTTTTAGTCACTGGAAATGTGTAAGTCCTACCTGTGTTTTGAGTTATGTACAAGGTTGTATGGACTAAATGAGCACAGTGGTCTCCCCTGGTTTCTAATCTACTAAGAAAATTAATTAGATCCTCTTACAATGCTGATTTCAGCCTTTACAAATCTATATATAAATCCAAGGAATGGTTCACCTTAGAAACAGAATTAATGCACAATTTTGAAATTCAAGTTAAATAAACACTTTGTAGTGTGAATTAAGTGTTTGGTCGTGAGTTCTAAAAGGCGTCTAATTTTATATATATGATTTTCTCAGGAGAGAGCACAAACCGAGCTTCTGGAACAAAAGATCCCTCCCCATCTCATCAGGTTTGCAGCCTTGAGACTAATCACACATAACTGCAGCATTGGATGGTTTTCTTGTTGCTCTGAAATATTTTCATTTCCCACTGAGTGTTGCACTGAGAGCCCAAAACTCTGCTGAGCAGAGCAGGGGCTGCCTCACTTCTCCTGGACAGTAGCAGAAGGCACCTAACGAGGGGTTGTATTTAATCCATCTCAAACATCCAAATTAAATATTCTGATTTGCTTCTTGTCCAGGCTTGGACAACATGAGTCAATTGGAAATTTCACTTACAGATGAGTCGAATGGAAATAGGGAGTGATTTGTCACCAGGATCAGTGAGGTCCAGGCTCATCCTCGCAGCACACATGGGAAGAAAGGCTTTCTGGGAAGTATGTCCTGAAATCCCAATCTCTCCATCATGTGTACATAACACACCTCTATATTAGAAACCTGCATGTTCTGATCAAATTACTTCTTCAAGGAAATTGGGTTTTTTGCTCCTACTTCTGGTCCTACTTCTCTGTTTCCCAGAGTCTGAAATATTTTGTTTCTAACACTTGAAACCATTACCTTCCTTTGTAACCACTGCTGCTATGGCAAAAGAAATGTTTTGTACTTGCTTTTATGGGTGGATAAACATTGTTTTCTTAAGTTTATCCAATACAGTGAGCAACACATTAACAGTTTATTTTATTAAGACAGTGTTTTTAGCAGAACTAAAATAGGAATTTTGAATAACTGAACAATAAATCTCTTCTCATCATTCCAGGCAGCACCAAAACCGTTAAGCTTTTCCACTGGTGAAACAACAAGCAAAAATCAAACCAATTTCCACAGCAAACTTACCCAGTTTTGGCAAAAGTTGCCCAGTCTCTCATCATGGAGCGGCTCAAGATTTCCTCAGCTTTGGTGTAATTCACCTTTCTCTCCAGGGGCAACCCAAACACAAACTCAATCTCGTAGCCATGCATCACTCCCATCCACTCAGGCCAGGGGAGCTTGGAGGATCGATGTTCAAAGAAGTAAAAGAACACGTTGTTTCCCAGCTGGGCGAATTTTGTGCAGAATTCCATGACAGGACAGATTATGTTGTAGTCCCCGACGGCGTCGTCCGCAGCATCACAGTAGTGCTCTGGCTTGTGCTCGTTTTCCCAATCCGTGTACTGAAAGATTATGGATTCTATTGCAAGTTTGCTCACTCCTGGGAAGGCCAGAGTTAAGGCTGTCTCAAACTGGGTTTTATTGACCAGGCCATCGCTATCCTTGCTGAAGCCAGGGACTCCATATGCTAGAAATCCTGACCCTTCATCTTTGTTAACACCCACTAAGATCTGTGTTTGTTTGAAAAGGCCTTTCTCAATCAATTTTTCTGGCATGTCTAAGAGAAAATTGCCATCCACCGTTGGACAAAAATATACCTGCAGAAAAGAGCCACCTGGAACAGCAAAAATTTCGTTCTCCAGTATTTCCTTCGGGTCCTTGTCTTGGAGGCAGAGAATTAGCTCTGTCTCGTTGCTGGTGGGACACTGGAGCTGTTTAGCTAAAGCCACTGTTCTGTTTCTGGCTTCAGATGCTGTGATTGTAGCCCAAGGGGCATTGGCAGATCCACTCTGCATGATGGCTCTGGTGAATAAAGGATGGCTTTTGGGGGAAAGGAGGTGGTAGTTGACAGAAGCCGAGCCAGCGCTCTCCCCAAATATCGTCACGCTTTTTGGGTTGCCTCCAAAGGCTGCTATGTTCTCCTGCACCCACTGAAGGGCCAACCTTTGATCAAACAAACCTGCATTTCCAGGAGCTTCCTGGTTTCCTGGCAAAGCCAAAAATCCTAATGCAGCGACCCTGTAGTTCATGGAAACCACAACAACTCTTTCTACCCTGGCCAGAAACTTTCCATCGTAGACAGGCAGGGCAGTGGACCCAGACTCGAAGCCACCTCCGTAAATCCACACCATGACACTTGCATTCTTGGGCTTGGGAGAAGGAACCCACACGTTAAGGTACAAGCAGTCTTCACTCAGGTTAGTTTTTGGGTTCCACATCTCTGATCCAGCAAACCCCGGGTAAGTTGTATCTATATGCTGGTAACAGGAGTTGGCGTGTTTTGTGGCGTCCCAAACATCCGACCACTTCTCCCGAGGTTCTGGTTTTTGAAACCTCAGTCTGCCCATGGGTGGCTGTCCATAAGGTATTCCAAGGAAGGCTGTCACAGTTCCCCCCAGGACCTGCAGGTTTGTCCCTCTGACTCTGCCTTTCTTGGTTGTAACGATGTTGTCTTCAGGCACCACCTTCCTGATGAACATGTACAGGAGAAGAAACCACATCAGAAACCTGGTAGAGAGACTTGGACCATTTGCCCAAATCATGATGCCTGAAACACACGAAAAAGAAATTCAGAATTAGTGTTGCAATATGTTACTACCAGAGCCAAAATGATCTATTAAATAAGGGTGTAGGCCATCCCAGGGGCTTTGGAAACAAGATGGTGCTGCTGCACAAAGCTCAGAAGTATTTAACCATAAATTCTCGTTTGTCCGTTGTGTTGCAAAGATTGTGTTTGGTATTGTGTATTTAGTCAGTACTTCAAAAAAATTCTCTTGCTAAAAAGCACAGAACTGAATGAGCCAGACCAGGGAAGGTAAAGTCATATAAACAGGCTCTGATTACTCCAGTTAGCAGGTGACTTAAATGCCAGTCAAGACTTAAATGAGTCATGTCTTTCAAGATCTTGTTTCTCTACAGGAGTTCAAGCAAGTTTACAACCATCAGAGTCCTACAAAGTAGTAGTCAAACTTCTGCTACTTAGAATGAACATTAAAATGCTAAAACATCAAGGACCTTTGAATACATGTAGATGATGCCTAAAAATTTACATATTGTCCACTGATTGGTTCCTGAGAACCTTTCCAATCTATAATTAGTATTATCTAAAAGCTGGAGGAATAAAAGCTGATTATATACCACATATAAGTACTAATAGTCTGATTTACCCCAACCTCCTCAAATGCTATAAAACCATAGTACTGTCCTCTTGAAAGTGAAAATTCAGACAAAGACTATTTGCATAAATCCATTTCTGTGGTTTACATGTCTGAAAATGCTCAACAAAGCTCCCTTCTATTTTTCGCTTGTTGCCCTGTAGTACATCATGTACTCTGTCCTGCCCCTTTAAACAGGGCACTCTTTGTTAATGAGGAGAATTTGTGTCCTTAAAAGGAATGAGGCCAATTTGTATGGAAAATACAGCTGTGGCCTAATTTGAGCTCCTCCTGATTGTTAGCCTGTTCTTGGAAAGAAAATGCAGAGGGGGGGGGGAAGGGAATATTTTGTGCAAAGAGGTTCCTAACTTTGAGACAGCACCAAAGGAGCAGGGGGGAATCTTCAAGGATATTTTTATCATTCATCAAAATAGGTAGAAAATAGATAAATTTTATAAGCAGGAACATGTTGTTTTATCTTGCTGCTGTGTTAAAAAAAAATAGGTAGGGTGGTGAATGGGGACAACAGAGTTGGTGTCACACTCCACCTTCAGCTTGACTTGCAGAAATCTGCAAGTGACCCCTGTTTGCTCAATTTTAGAGATGTGAGTTGTCAACTCATGTGGTCCAGCAATTCCCAAGGAGCTTGGGTGAGCAAGACTCGCTCTGGCACAGACAGGAGGCTCACTCACATCAGTTAGTGGCATTTAGCTCCTCTCCCTTTGTGGCCTTTGAGAATCATAGAATATTCCGAGTTGAAAGAGACCCACAAGGATCATCCAGTCCAACCCCTGGTCCTGCACAGACACCCCAACAAACCCACCCTGTCCCTTGAGCTCTGGCAGCCTTGGGGCTGTGCCCACTGCCCTGGGGAGCCTGTTCAGTGCGTGACCACCTTCCAAAGGGAAGAACCTTTTCCTGAAATCCAGTCCAAACCCCCACAAGGACCAAAGCAAGAGCCTGTATTTAGTTACCCTAGTTTGCTAAAACACTCAAGCCTAAATCCCACTGTCTTTGAGAGAATTTGGCATAACTTAACCAGTCTGCTGAATATTTCCAGCCTGCCAAACTGACACGGATTCCACTCTCACTCGGGATCACTTTTTAACACGGTGTGTTTAATTTTGAAATTTTCTCAAGAAGATTTAAGAGATGCCACGGAAGGAGAGGAGAGAAAAATAACCTGGTTTGCTCAGTGAATCTGCTCTTAAAACTTCACTGGTTTTGAGCACCCCAGGGCTCATCTCAGCCCCTCTGCGAAACCAGACCCAAACTCTTCCCCCAAGATCCTGAAAACCCACCAGAGCTGGGAGAAGGATGATGATGGAAAAGGGATGGAGAAGGGATGAAGGCATCCAAGGCAACTGGGATGACTGAGAGGAATGTTAATATTAGGGATCTAGTTGGGTATTTGAGCACCCAATACCACCGTGAGATGGGAGAAGTTACTTCTATACATTCATTGCTTCACTGACGCTGTCACTTCACTGAACATGTGAAGAAAGATCAGGGTCAAACCACAACAACAAGCTGGAAATAATAAGATATTTCAAATATTGTCGATACAAAGAGAAAATAACACTAAGAAAAGCAAGAGGCTTTAAAGTTTCTAAAGCTTTTACTATCTCAATAGTAATTAAAATTAATTCCCCCATGCACTTTCCTGTTAGTTAAAAAAGGAATGGGATGGGAAGAAAACACTGTAGCATTGCAAGATATGAAACTGAAGAAGTTTTAAACAAGAATATTAGAAAGAAAAAAAAATAATAACAAAAAAGTCAGTTGGGTACTTTTTAAATTAGCTCTGCAAATTTCAAAGAAAAAGTTAGAAACAGATCAAGCTTGAAAAACACAGCAGTTTCATACTAGTGAATGAAAGGACTTGTCTCAAGCTACTCTGCCAATATTAACAGAAGGAGTGACAGGGGATTATTATTACACCTCGACTGCATGGCAAATATTACATTTAATAAGGTTTTTAATGCTGCTTTAAACCAAACTCAGCAGTGTAAAGCACACTGAGCAAAACAAACATGACTTGATTATTACTATGAGAGTAAAAGGGTCAGAAATTGCTTTAGTTCATCAACATTAACCCAGCATAGTTATATCCTACAATGTATTTGCATATTTTAAAAAGCTGCTGCTGGAGTAGTTTCCTCCAGCAAAAGTTAAACAGACTCTACTTTTGCATTCTTATTCAGCAAGGGAACACTGTTTATTTCAATGACTGTTTCCTCCCCTTGCAAACCCTTACCCAGCCAAAAAATCTATACACGGGGCTATAAAATCACTATTTAAATAGGAAAGATGGTTGAATTAATAAGTGATTTCTAGCTCAGCTTAATTTACTTAGCCCAGGATCCCTTGAATAATCCCGAGGTTGGATACACACGCCGCATTCCCAGAGCGGAGGGAGTTTTCCCAGGAGAGCAACAAATGGGCAGAGCAGAACGCTTTAAAAGATCCCAATCCCCGTACAAATCAAGCTGAACTGTAAATTTGCCTGGCAGACAGAGACATGGAAAGAGAGAATCACTTACCCCACTTCTATTACAAGAGCTACAAAAGTTTTTAGGAGTCGGGATCTTTGGGTACCTCAGGGAAATGCAGTTGTGCAGCTGCTGCTTTAAGCCCGTAAATTGGCCAGTGCTGACATTATAATCAAGTGTTTCTGACATAAAGCTCGCGAGAGTTGGCAGCAGCAACTTGATCTGCAGGCAGGCACTGCTTCCCACCCGGCATCTGCTCCCGGGATAACGGGATCACTGTGGGAATGCCATGGAGGGACACCCGCGCTGGGCAAAACCAGGCAGGAGCTTCCAGGGGGCTGGGGGAACTCAGGGATGTGTCCTTTGCATGGGGCAGCTGGTTTAGGAGCTGGAAAGATAAATAGAATTGCAAATATAATAAATCCTGCCCGTCTTTGCTTAGAGCTCTCTCCCACCCGGGCTTTTTTTGCCCGAGATCAGCACCTTTGTTACCCACCGCAAACTTTGCACTGTAACATGAGCGGTTATTTTTGGTTTTAAGCAACTGTGGCAGATAAAACAGGAGTGTCCTCTGCCCAGGCATGTCACAACTGGCAAAGCATCAGGTGTGTCACTTGACTCGCTGCCATCAGGGCTGTGGCAGAGCTCTGCGTGGTCCTCTGCTGATGGTGGGGTTAAAAATGGGACCCAGACAGTGTCACATGCTGATTTCTGTCTTCTTGGGCTCCCAACAGGAAATCACCCACGGTGCTTAGGACACCTGATACCCTCATTTTGCCCCAGCCTCCTAAACGCTGTTCCCACCAGAATTCCACACTGCAGGTACAAAGCCAGGCTTAACAACAGGTCAGGTCCTACAACATGTGGAGGGTCTTTAAAATGTAAATATTTTGGGGTACAAATGAATAGAGAAGAGGGGTGGAGAAGAGAAATAAATTATGTACACCCTCCCTACAAACTGTCTTGTCAAACCCACATCCCTGAGCCACCCCATGAAACTAGAAGGTGACTCCTTGGTGGTGGGACTCTTGCCCCCCAGGAGCATTTGCCCTCAACTTCTGCTCTGAAAAAAAAGCAACTTTTCCACATTTTAAGTTTCTTTTTTTTTTTTCTATGAAGCACCTTTACTTCCCCCTGTACAGCCAAATACAATTACTTTCCCTGTTTAATAATCAAACTACAGCTCTGCTTCAATTACACAAAAGTAATATTTGGCAATGCAGAGAAGAGGAATAAAGCAGAAATAAAAAGTTAAGTGTGAAGTTTATAGACCTTAATATGGAGAGTACAAGTGTTTTGGTTTTTTTTAAAGCTAGAATGGGAAATGGTGTTTTAACAGAGGAAAGTTTAAGAAATCATGATAATTTCATTTCTCCGGGTAATTCTGCAGTCTCCCTTTAGGTGTATTGCATGGACAAGCTCACTGGAGAGAGCACGTCCCAGTCTAAACCTAAACCACCATGGCAAGGGGTTGGAACTGGAGGATCTTTAAGGTCCCTTCCAACCCAGGATTTTCAAGGATTCTATGATTCTGTGATAAATCCCTAAGCTTTCAGCATGGGAGCGTCCATTAAAGTTGCCAGTTGGGAATTTGGAATTCTTAGCCAAGATTGTTGTGTCAGCAATGCAAATAGAAATATTTAGTTATAAAATAAGATTAATTCAGAATTAACTCGAGTGACAACTCTTGCTGATTAAAACTTTTCAAGTGCAGTTTCCTGCAGGAAACACCAAATCATGCTCTTCAAATTAAGGCAATTTCAGTGTTCTCTGATGTGCATTCACTGCCTTTCTCTGATGCCTCTTTACCCCCTTTGGAGACGTGGCCAGCTGACACACATTTCTTTCATTTCCATGACATCAGAGGAATGAATCACAAGCCCTAAATCTTGTCAGAGGCCGCTTTTAAATAAGGTATTTCAGATGCCTGTGACTAACCACTGCATTCTCAAACCTCTTTGCCTTGAGCGGCAGAGAAACCGCAGGACACTCAAACACTAAAAATGCAGTTTCTGGCTTTGTCTATTTTCCAGCATTGTCTGCCTTTTCCTACATCTGCCATCAGGGCTGTGCCTTCCCCTCTCCTCACCCCTGTCTGCTCCTCTTTACAGTGCCCAGGGCACCCAAACACACCCTGCTCTCAGGCAGAACCCTCAGTAAATGCAAAACGTGGAGCCTTTGTGACAAGGTGACCCTGGGATAAGTGAATCGACTGTCTCAGGCTGTTTCTGAGGCAGCAGAAAACACTGAATTCAGCCTTGGGGTTACCTGGGTGTCCTCAGGGAAGAGTGGTTGGGCTGTTAGACATCTCAACTATTATCCTCCAGTCTAATGTTAGACTATTATGCTGCACTTTTAAAGAAAACTAGACCCTCTTCTATAATTTTTTCCCTTTAATTAAAAAATTAACATATAAATTAAAGTTTCACTACTGTGTGCTGCGCAAGGAAACACTTCTTTTAGTTATTGCTGAGCTTACTAAAAATACCTGGGTGAAAATTAGAGCTTAAATACATTTAATGCCTTTTGTAATTCTGTGTAGAATCGTTGTTTTCTCAGTTATCCTTTGGGAGCTTGAAAGGGAAGGAGGTATAAACCAGTGCATGGAATATTGTATGTGTGTGTGTATATATTTATATATATGTGTGTGTGTGTTGTATATATACATACACATATATATTTATTCTGTTACTTTGAAATATCTCCATCCATCTATCTAATGAGGTTTTATGAGGTTATATGATTTTTTCATTTAAGGTTCTTAAAGTTCACTACAAACTATAAAAGTGTCTTTTCCTTATTTCATGTGTGTATGTGAAAGCAGTGTCACACTGTCACAGGAATTTTGATACAAGAGATGTCTGTCCAGGTGTCTTAAGAAGTGAAAGCCAAGGTCAGCTCTAGGGAAGGTTGATATTTATCAGGCTAAGAAGTTTAGAGAATTATAGTTATTATATATAAATACATAAACATACATGGAAATACATAATCAATATATATTATAAAATATATTTTTGCTGTTATTTAATTAATTATTTAGGTGCCTTTCAGGATATTATTTCAGCATATGCAGATTTTTTTGAAATTATTAATATCTCAAGTCATGCACATTCCATGTTATCACAGGATCATAGCCCTCTGAGCTTTCAAGGTCTACCTGCACACAAAGAGCCCCATTCACCAGAGCTGGTCCTGCCCTTCCAAGCCACCTACAGTTCTGGAAGAGCACCTGGGCTCCTGTGAGGATAGCTGGGCTGAAAAGCTTTGAAAATGTCCCTTCAAAATAAAGGATGTCACATACCAAGTGTCTGCATGTCCAGGGAAATATTTACATGCTCATACTATGTAAAAGTAGGAAATATTCTTATTTTTTAAGTGCTGGGAGGGTAATCAAAAGGCAAATTATAGCTAAACTCTAGGTAATGTCACTTGTGTGAAGATGTGGGGAGGTTGTTTTAAACTCCAGCTCTAAAATCCCTTGGGAGGGTTCAGCTCTCTCTGATCCCTGGCTGAATTTTCACGCTGAGCATCTGTGTGACCTTGGCTGAGACCTCTGAGAAAACCACCACGTTGGGAGAAAAAAAAGCTGTGAGGAAAAACAAGTAAACTCGAGCTGCACAAGATGCAAAAGGTGAAATTGCAGACAGGGGTAAGATTGCTGAGAAGGGGACACTTAACAGCTCAAGGACTCGCAGGGAAAAAACTTCAAAGCTGCAAGCTGTGAAATTTTCAGGTAAAAAATAAAAACACAGAAGAGGGAGCTCAGCGGCAGCAAAGAACTACTGATGTTCAGCTTTGGGGCTTGCAGCCATGATATTCTACTGTGAATATTAGGAAATAAATCACTGCCTTTTGTTTTGAATTTGCAGAGCATCTTTTCATGCCCAAATCCAGTGACCACACTGGATAAAGGGCTACACCTCTCAACTCTTTCCTTATTCCTTTTGAAAATATGTTTGGTACGAGACTGATTGCTCTTACTGCCCACACACCTCTGTATATCCATGGATGTAAACCAGGGACACCCTAAATAAACCTGGAGAGAGCTGAGGTGTTGCTGCAGGCGATTGTAGCTGATGGTCAGACCAGTCCGAAATTCTGTTGTTATTCTGATTATTCCAAGAAGCCTCACCACAGAGTGCCTTCCAGGATGAGCAGAAGTTCCCAACAATGGATCTGAAGGGTAATTTGATAATATTAGGAAAGGTGTCTTAGATACACACCAGGAAAATAGATACCAATTTATTAAGTATACAGGAGACACTAACACTCATATAAGCCATTAAACATGATTATATTTTCCCCTTATTGGTTCAATTATGATCCGCTGTGCCTTTTTCCTTATTACTCTAATTATAGATCAGTATAATTTCCTCTTTATTAGCACAATTATGGTCTGTACTTTTATAAATGTCTTGGAGAAATCAGAGCCAATGAGAAGATATAGCCAGTTAAAAGATAAAGGTATTATTATTATTATTATTTCTTTTGAATGTTCATGTATTCTTAATTCCTTGTGGTATTACATAACTCAGTATTTTGTCTCATATGGGGATCAGGTTCAATAAAATATGATTAATGTGTACAAAATATGTCTTTCATGACATTATTACAGCCTGATGTTTACCTTGCAAGAAAATAGTCAAAATTGAAGCCTCAGCAAAGAGCTCATCTTGTGTGAGCTTTTTAAAGCTAATTAAATTACAAGTTAGGTTTCTCAGATTTCTGCAGATGATTAATTAATTGACTATATACCTTTTTTTCCCATTTCTTTCCAATGAACAGTAAAGCTCTAATTGTTTAAAATAAGGATATTTGAATTCCCATGGTCACCTGCCAACAGCACATTGAAGTTCATGATATTATGTTCTCTCACACCCAAACTCTGTGAATAACTAAGAAGTTTGGTGGATCAATGAGCTCCTTTGCATCTCTAAAGTAGAATTTCTACCTGAAAGGTGGGAATTCTCCCCAGTCCTCCCAATTCTCACTCTTTATTTTAGGCTTTCAGTTTCTACATCCACGAGAGAAGGAGCATCTCTAATGAAAAATGCCACAGGGATGTTCAAAGGTTTATCTTAAGTCACTGCTGTTTTCAGATTTCAATTTCATCCAACGTGGTGAAAACAGGAATGAAAGAATTGAGCCCAGCATCAGG